AACTATAGAGATGATTCAAAATGAAACAAAAAGCGGTTTCCAGGAGTTTAGAAGGAAAGGAGGAGGGCTAAAAAGGCCAAGCACAGGGAATATTGTTGCGTGCTGAAACTCCTCTGCATGATATTCTAATAGGTACATGACACTGTATTTTTGAAAAAAACCTATAGAACTTCAGCACACAAAGAGTGAAACTTAATGCAAATCAAATCAAATGTGGGGCTCCTCTGTGTGCAGGGCCCTCTCTGAGTGCATACTTCTCCCTCCCACAAAGTCATCCCTGATCCTGTTTCATTGATCAAAGTTTGCTTAGTGAACCTGTAACCCCTTGTATTTCTGCTTGGCACAACCAGTATCTCTGAGCAGAGTCTAGGAAACCAGAGACTCCATGGGTCCAGCTGGGTTGAATCAGGCCCTCTAACTGCTACAGCTCTGCCTCTGTGGGAAAAAAGAGAGGCTATGCTAAAGACAGGTGCTTATGTGCAGCATCAGGAGAGATTGTCAGGGATGACAGGAAATAAGGTACTGACTGCAACAGAGGTTTTCTATGCATGGGAATGGTATGAGTGATCCCCAGGAATATTTCCAGCCTAAAAGCAATGAAAGCAGCTAAAGTTGGAAAACTGGGCAGGACTGAGAGGATGTGGACAGTGTATCAACTAGGTCCACTCTCTCAAGCGGGCAATGTATCCCTCCATCATTTTAGTTGCCATACTCCAAGATTTCTCCAATTTGGCTCTGTAGCTTTGATACAATGTCCAACATTTAAAGTGATAATATTTATGATATTTCTTTAGAATTTTTTGTTGTTTCCTTTATCACCAAAGGTATCTGACAGTAACCTAAGGATTTTGTGAATCTTCTTCACAGCCAGACACAGATACATGAATATACTTTGAGCCCTGACAGGCTGCCAATAGTCTTCATCCAGCCAGAATTATCCAATCTTCTCTTCATTGAATTTTCCAGAATAGAGGGAGACAGAATGGAATTATCAAGATTAAAGCAACCTACATTAATCCGTCCATGATGGAAAGCAATACCAAGAGCTACCAGAAATCTACACATACTGAGTAGGAAATAGAAAGGAGAGTAATCAGAGTAATCAGTATTATATATATATATATATATAATATATATAATCAGAGGAATATATATATATATATATATATGTATATATATATATGTATATAATGTAGCCAGTCTTTTTTCAACTATGAGAGAATGTCTACAACACATAGAATTCAGAGGCACCTGGGTGGCTCAGTCGGTTAAGTGACCAACTCTTGATTTTGGCTCAGGTCATGATCTCAGGGTCATAAGACTAAACTCTGCAGTGGGTTTTGTGCTCAACAGGGAGTCTGCTTGAGGTTCTCTCTCTCTCTCTCTCTCCCCTGTCCCTCCCCCCACTTGTGCACACTCTCTCTCTAAAATGAATAAATAAAATGCACAGAATGCAGCTCCAAAAATATTTTCATCAACCTATTAATTTTTTTTTGAAATATTTATTGGTGATGGGTATTAAAGAAGGCACGTATTGAATGGAACACTGGGTGTTATAAGCAAACAATGAATCATGGAACACTACATCAAAAACTAATGATGTATGTATGGTGATTAACATAACATAATAAAATAAAATAAAATAATATAAAAAATTTATTTATTGGGACCTTATTCACATTGGCATGACGGTAGATCCTGGGGTCACAAAGAGAAACAGAAAATAAGCAACAACCAAAACAAGTCAGCAGGGAACAGCATTGCTCTTTGCACCATGACCAGGAGCTACACCTCCCACAGGCAACTTCTTCAGTCAAATTTCTGTAAACAAGGTAGATGGGGAGTGGGGCTCAGTCAGAAAACATTAAGAAAGTTGCTTAGAATATAAAGCCAGTTTTGTGCTCAAGGCTAAGCTTCTTCGCGTTTGATAATTGTGTTCCTTTACTCAGGACAGACAACAGAGCCAACAAAACCAAAAATACAGATGTTTTACCATTGAAGCCAATGACTAAAATCACAAACATGCCTGAAAGGACTGGGAATTTGAATAACAATCCTAGTGGCAAATGGGCCTACAGAAGTTGCACCCCAGTCGCAGATGCAGTGTGTAACAAAAAGGAACAGACCACAGGAAGACCAATCAAAGTACAATGTCAGATGCCTCAAACATCCTCAAACCAGGGAGAAGCAGTAATAGAAAAAAATTCTACACATTCAAATATTAAGTATTTATATTAGAGTAATCTTGTTCTGACAATAAGAAAAAGCCCAGGAAAATTCCTTTAGCCAAGTAGAGAGGGCAGCCAGCAGAAATTAGGGACAGGTGAGCAGGCTGGGACAGCTGCTCACCCAGTGGACATCCAGTTTGCTTTTGCTCATGGGGCTATTTTCCATTCAAACATGAAGCCAGTTTAGCTTTAAATGTGGACAAATATAAGCATGAATAAAACATTGGAGGCACAAGTAAAATTCTACAGGTCAGGTCAGAAACTGTAAGGAATCCAGTACAGTATATGCTGAGACATGTAGTTTTGAAATATTTCATATGTACAAAGTATCAGAAAATACGCAATGTGGGTAGGCTATGTGTTATTAGACCATGTTTAGTATTTCTCTTCTTTATTCAACCTGTCTCAAAACAGTATCAGTTCAGGGGCACCTGGGTGGCTCAGTCGGTTGGGCATCTGCCTTCAGCTCAGGTCATGATCCCAGGGTCCTGGGATCAAGGCCTCAAGTCCTGCTGTCTGCTCAATGGGGAATGTGCTTCTCCCTCTGCCTGCCACTCCCCCCAGCTCGTGGTCGCTCCACCCCCTTTCTCTCAAATAAATAAATAAAATCTTCCAAAAAAAAGCATTATCAATTCAGACATGTTGCTTATCAATAAGGTGTGTTAAACTAAAACAAACAAACAAACGTAGGAGGCAAAGATCTATACCTAAGATGAAGAGAAATGTTTGAAATGCATCTAGAGATATTTTTTAAATAAAGTATTAACTATTCGTTGTGAGGTAATAGCCACCCTCAAATGAATTTCCATTATTCTCTTTGTGACTGCCTTTCTCCCTGTTTTCATTTATAGGTACCTCTCTTGGGCTTCCAACAACATGTACAGGGTATGATACTTCGAAATCATGTAGAGGGAGATTTGCACAATGGTGAAGTGAACACATACAGGGTAACACCTGACACTGGGAAACCTAAGTAGGTAATAAATGATCTCTTTCACACAGCAGTCACTTTTCCATCTCTGGCTAGCACAGCATAATCCTGGCAATTCCCACTTTTATGTTTTGCTGTCTGTCTCTGTTTAAGTTAATGCTTCCACATGGGCTTCAAAGGAACGAACTGAGAAGCCAAAGAATCACAGGCTTCCAGGAAATATTAATGTCTGTCAGATCTGTAGGGTTTTGGGGAATGAGGAATGGATTCAGAGGTAAGGAAAAGCAGAGGTAAAGAAACCAAGTAGTTCTGGAACACCCACTCCTGTTTCAATATATATATATATATTTTTTTTACCCCTCTCTTTTATCTTTTGGGCTTCTCTCTGATATTTTATTTGGAGAAAAGGTCTAACTATGAAAACAGTCTAGTGATTAAAAATCATTTGAAAACCTTGAATATAATTTTCTGATGCACTGGGATGTGTTCCTTTTGATTCCTTGGAAAATGTGTTTTAGAATTTTCTAGGTTTATTCAAATGATGAGAATGATTTGTGTTTTAACATGAGGCCAAAAACTACATGCATTCAGGTGGTTAGGGATCAGGATTCAGTGAGGAAGGAAGAATGAATCTATTAGCAATATCTGTCTCTATCTGAGTTCTATTGTGATTAATATGGCATTATATGGGTTCCATTCTAAATATTTATTATTAAATAATTTAGAATATTGTAACCAGAACAACTTCAGATCTAGTTGTTTATTATCTTAAGTGACTCTGAACTTTGCCATACTCCTCGAGAACACAGTCTGGGAAATCCGCTAATAGGCCATCTGTGTGGATGCATTTAGTCCCAGAACTCTATGATTTTCATAAAACACAGATATATACTCAAGAATTCCTGACATTTTAATACTGCATTTAAATATAATTTAATACAACAATATGTACACAGCACACTTTTAAGTGTTAATGTTCCTTTAAACATAAAAGATGACAATGAGTTTCATTAGTCTCACTAAAACCATAATATAAGTCCTTGCATGAGAGGAAATAAGAACTCAAAAATACTGTGAAAATTTATTAGGAAAATAGATTTAGTAACTTCAATCCTAGACTTTAGTGACCAGATTCTGCTTTTCCTAGTAAAGAGAGTATGAGTCCTTCCAAAAGTAATATTTGTCCTAGAGCCAAAGTCAGAGACTTCTACTCATTTTGCACCTGTTTTGCCTCTACTGATTCATGAGCTCCCTTTCTGAAGGCATATTCGATTTACTTTACTAATTTTCATTACCCGTTCTCAACCTTGTTCTGAATAAACAACAGAGACTGTGATCGTTCCCTAGGCTCTAATGTTGTGAAGCATTTTAAAACACTTAGCCAAGGCCCCCCCTTGTACGGGCACATATTTACCCTTTCTCTGGGATTTACCCTTTCTCTGGGCCGGCAGAGCTCACAAAAGTGGTGACACCAGTTCCCACCTTGATCAGGAGTCATGGACCCCTCACCTAATCACGTAAGCTTCAGAAACTTTGTATTGCTCTTTCCTCTGAATGATGCTCATTAAAGGAACAATATGAATTTAATACAGTTGTTTAAATAAATATGGTGGAAAGCTATGTCCAAATGAAGTCTAACTATTGAACATTAACATGTGTTCGGAGTGTTGCCCCCCTCCCCACACCAGGAAATTAAAAAAAATTTCTTATATTGTTCTAGAGGAAAGAGGCTTCATAAAGCTTAATATTGAAGAAAACAACTTATAATAGAAATGTAGAAAAATGAATATTTTTTTTCATTAATTTACCCACAATGACTTTTTGAAAAGTAATGGTCTTACCTGAATTTAGGTAGAGCAATGTTTTCCTTTTTCAGAGGTCACTTCTCTGGCAATCTTAACATTCTGGAGAATAGTCTAGATGCAGAAAGCAAAATTAAAAGTCCTATGAGCATTCAAAATAGAGGCAATAAAATCATACACTGAAATTTATTCACTTTATCCATAAGGAAGACATGCATCCCATTTATGTTTATATCATATACATTTTTAACACATTTCTTTGTGAATTTCTAGGAGTAACTCAAAACCTTGTGAATCACCAAGGGGAAAAATAACATCATAAGTATTTCCCAAATGGCTAATATCATAAGACTGAGTTCTGCAGAACACATTTTGGGGAAATTGACTTATAAAAAAAGTACAAAAGCCTATTTGGTAATCTGCCCAAAATAGTATCTGTCAGTAGTCAGCATTTAGATATAAGCTGCCAATACCACAGCCTTAAGAATTAGACTCCAAGTTTAAATTATTGATATCATTTAAAAGCACTCCTTATGAGGAATAGTCTTTGATTTGATGCCATTATTTTTAATGAGACATAGCTATTAACTCACTTTTATACTGAGGAGAGGGGGTTAGCCTCTATACATCAAGGCCTGTTAAGAGATTGCTAATTCCAAAGGCTAGAATGATGTTTCTGCCTTTGCCACTTCATTTTTAATGATCTCATTTCTGTTATTTGTCCTCCCATGAACTCAATCGTAGTTTTCAAAATGCTCTAACACTTTATTAAAATGATAAGCAAGTGAAATGTTGTATTTAATAGAACAGTGGTTATCAGGAGAAGTTCCAGATGCATACAGCTGGCTGCAGAGAAATTGCTTGCATAGCTCATCAAAGATATATATATGATTCTATACAGAGGCCTATGATTAATAATATATGACTTTTTAATAAGATCCACAGTGAAATCTGAACCTTAGCCATGTTGAGAACCCTAAAGTAGAATATAAGCTTCTGGACTATGGTAGGAATAATTCTGGACTGGCTCCTAGATTCCCACGCCCTGGTATATACACTGTATGATCCCTTCCCCTCTGATGTCTTGATTGTGGGTTGAGCTTGTGACTATGATGTATTTCACTTCTGTGATGGGTTTCCATTAGATGACAAACACAAAGGGATTTTGCAAAATCAGTTAATTTTGAGTCAACTAATTTGAGGGAGATTATCTTAAGGTAGCTGGATTTGGCCAAGGGAGGGGAGGTCTTACAAAGGGTCAGAGATTCAAACTGGGAAAGATTCTCCTCCTTTGAAGAATTAAGCTGCCTTGTTGGGGAAGACCACATACCTAAGACCTTCAGAAGGCTGCTAGTAGGAGGAGCTCAGAGCAGTCACTGGCTGATGCAACATAAAAATAGGGAAATCAGTCCCACAAACACAAAAAACTGGATTCTGTCAATGACTTATATGGATTTGGAAAAAGACCCTGAGCTCAGGGTCAGAACATAGCCCAACTGACACATGACTGCAGCCTTGGGAAACCCTGCCTGTGATGAGGGTTATTTTTTAATTCATAAATTTGATGATTCAGAATTATGTATTCAGTGAGAATAATATCAATTGCAGTACAATTCTCAATATTGTATCTCAAGGTACATAAAATTTAAGCTTTTGTTGTTTATTTAGTTGTTTTCCATGAACTAATTATTTAACCTGATCCCATTTTCTGCATTTCTTTTTTCCTATAGATGTATTCCATGGGTTTTATTTCAGAAATAATAAATATACAGCAAACCTCTCCAATTAAAAACAAATAAATGAAACATGTCCTTGTTCCACAGGTCCCTATTGAGGTGTAAGAGTAGGAACACTGCTTAGAGAACAATGTGCTGTCATCACTCTGGCAGCTCCACACCTGATTTCTCTGGTTATAGAGGGGGACCGGTATCGCCTTAAGCAACGATTCTTACATCCCCAGACACAAGCAGTAGCAAGTACAAGTGAAAAAGGAAAAGGAAACCCGATGGCTAAATGTCTCAGTTTATGTCTTTACTTCACATACTCACCAGCTTCAATTCCACAACCACCCATTGATGTTTACTTTTAAACAGTAGTTGGTATCACCACAAAGACTTCATAATGTAATACCATGAGTGAAACAAAGAAGCCAAATAAAAATTAAAAACCAAAAAAAAAAAAAAAAAAAAAACCGAATTTGCTAATGCTATTAAGTCAATACCTAAAGAAGGTAAGTAGAATAATTTATTGCTTAAGAAAATCCAAGAAGGGAAGGATTCAAAGTTTCTGCCAACTGGGAAATACAAGGCAAAAAAAGAAATTCTAGGGACCTGGTTACCACGTCTTTCCTCAGGTTCTAAGTTCACTGACTGGTCTGCCTTTCTATCTCTGCCTTTCCAGGTCATAATATGCATGTTTTATATATAATGTCTAGGATCTTAAGCTGTACTTGTGTAAGAAGTGGGCAAAACTTATGCTACTCCAGTTTCTTTAGAACCAGAAATCCAACTCTATTTTTTGATTTAGGAATTGAATAGAAAAATTTTAAATGAAAAATTTAAGAGAATACTCATGACTTTACAAACACATTCCTGACTTCAGTTATTCAAGGTATGTCATTTAATACAGATATATTCATATTGCTTGTATGCCCTATGCTGGGTTTTCATAAATTGTTACTCACCGAAAACACTGTACCACAAATACCATTGAAGAAAACAAATTCAGGCATAAGTGTTGAAAAGTTAAAGAAAGAAAATTAAATAAATGAAATCTAAAGTATTTTGGAACATTATTCATCCATATAGACATTTTAAACAATCATCACTTAATAAGGCACAGCATTATCCAAATCCTACTTGGGTTTCAACATAGGGTTTCTTCATAGACTTCTAAGACAAAGCATCATTATTCAACTGGAAAGTAAATTTTGATGTGTTTTCAAAACAACTTTTTTTTCCGTTTTATGAACAATAAGAATTTCACAAGTCAGAGCTTTCAAAATGGAATATTTGTCACTATTTGGAAAATTCTATCAGCTTTGATGTTACGAAATGAAAAAAAACAAAACAAAACAAAACAAAAAAATCAAGCTCTGTTGAAACCGATCTCAGCAGAACTGCAGTAAGCTTTCTTCTTGCCCAAACTCACTCAAGCACTCTATTATAGTTAACAAAAGGCATTCTGTGTCCTCCAAACATGAGTCTTTATTTACAAAATAAAGTATGTTGCAATAGAATGACAACCTCAAATTAAACTTGCCAAGGGCAGTTAAAAGCATGCATACTGCAGTGTGTTATAACCACAGGGGTCAGGATTTACCTTCATGTTGCAGGCTAGTAACAAGCATTCCACACTACAGGGGGTAGGAATATTATTAATGACATTTTAGGGTTTTGCTTCAAGAATGCCAAAATAATTATTAATTAATTATTTTCATAATATTTACAGAAACATAATAGGTGACACAGTGATGTTTTCTTGGCTTGCATTTCAAAATACATTTTATAAGATTACTGTGTCAAGGCAATGAGCTGATTTATCAGTCAGCTTAGGATAATAGAGACAGGGAAAAATCACATCTTTCAAAACCATGACAGAAATTGTAAAAAGGGTCATAATTCTTAACTCTTCCCTATACTCAGACCTTTTGCAATTGGCCCATAGCATCTCCCAGTAAGAGTGTTTAGTTCCTTACCGCTTAAATCTATGCTGGGCTTGATGAGTAGTTTCCACAAAATGAAAAATATGTTAGTACTGGAACCAGGGCTCAAAAAGCTTTGCATATTTCCACTTTCTCTCAGAACTTTTCCAGTGGAAATAACAAGCCCAGAAGAGCCTGCTGAATGATGAAAGCTCACACAGAGGAGAGACTAATTGTCCCATCTGAGGCCCTGGATGTTTGAGAAGTCACCAAAAGTGCTTATCTGACTCACAGTCAACCACAGAAACATGCAAGAGCCAAGACTAGAGATTTTTAGCTGACTCATAGTCACATAAGCAATAATAACTACTTATTTTTTCGAGTTGCTAAAATTTTGGATAGTTTATTATGTACCAAACACTAAGGAATATAACCACAGAAAGGAAAAAATTATGCATGCAATTGTACATTTAACAGATACTTTCATGAATCTCATATTTCTCTCATTTACATTGAATTGCTTAAGCAATAATTATATATACATTTTCTTATTGTATTCAGAGAATATCCTTTGTAGACTTCTTTTTTTTTTTAAATGTTTTATTTACTTATTCATGAGAGTCAGAGAGAGAGAGAGAGAGAGAGGCAGAGGCAGAGGGAGAAGCAGGCTCCCCGCCTAGCAGGGAGCCCAATGCGGGACTCGATCCCAGGACCCCGGGATCATGACCTGAGCCGAAGGCAGACACTTAACCATCTGAGCCACCCAGGTGCCCTATCCTTTGTAGACTTCTACAATGGCATTAGTCTGTGAATTATTGGGTGTCTTTCTGTCTTTTGTTTCTATCACTGCCCTGACAAAATAAACCTGTATACAATTATTGCAAAAAGTCAGAAGTCATAGTCAATGTCCTTCACTGCAGCCACGGAAATCCATCTCTTATCCCCTGGAATTAATGCAGCAATTTGGAAAATAGTTTGCTAGTCCCTCAAAGTGTGAAATGAATGTATAAGAGACATCTGCTATTTCATGTATTAACAGAGTCTCACAAAGGGAGCATTGTTTAAGTATTTGAAATAAAATGTTACATGAAGAAAATTTAAGCATCTGAAAATGATATGTGTTATAATACAATATTTATAAAGGTAAAACAGAGGAAAATTAAATGCCATATTGCTTAACCATACATACTTTTCAAAAAAGCAAGGGGAAGGAGAGGATTCTGGGAAGATGGCAAAATAGGAAGCACAGGGAATCTGTTTTTCCTCACCTGAACAACAATTGCACTGGCAGGATATGTTTAATGTAATTTTGGAGTTCTGGACTCTATTTGAAGGCCTGAAACTTCCAGGGGGAAAGCTTGGACAATAAATCATAGTTAATTTTAGCTCTTAGTACAGTAGCTGCTGTACATGCTCCATTCCCAGCCCGATGTCAGGCAGCTGTGCACATGTTCCTAGAGCAGCCTGCACA